TGCGCCAGAAACGCGGCCCGACCTACATCACTGTTTAAGAGTCCTGTCTATTTTTCATTGTAACCTATTAATCAAGAAGAACTAAGATGGCGGATAGAAATATCTACACTGAAAAAAAAATATAGTCAATTTTAATGAATATTTAGTTGAATACATGCCAACTAAATATTTATTAAATATAAAGATATATTTATTTGATACAAGAAATGTTAATTTGATTTAACAATCATTTTTTTTATTAAACAAATATTTACTGTAAGTAAATATTTAGTTGGCAGTATTGAACTAAATATTTATTAAAATTGACTATATTTTTTTCTCAGTGTACATATCTAGTGTCTTAGTAATTCTGATGGAAATGGACAAATCAAAATTTTCTGGTTAAATCTACTAGAATTCTAGTTAAGATAACTAGAATTCTGATTGATATAATTATTCTGGTACACACAAATAAAAATTCTAGTAAATTTTATCACAAATATTGTATCAATCAAAATTCCGGTTATCTCAATTAGAATTCTAATAAAAACCAAAAAATATGTCCATTTTCAACCAGAAATTTCAGTGATTTAATGACATTACATGTAAGTATATTTATGCACATATGTATGAAATTTAGTGTACTTTTTATAAAATTTTGTGAAATTTAGTACATTTTCCATTAAATTTTGTGTAGATTTACATGAAACTTCATGCATGTGAACGTTAAATTTAAGTTACCTGACTTCATTTTCATTTCACTGATTTCACCACATTAAATGTTTCTAATGTATCTGCTTGAAAGCTTCTATTACGTTACATGAAATTTGCTGCTTTGAATCTTTATCTTTTTCTAGTTCTAAGAATTAAAAAAGGATGAAGAGTAAGTTGAACTGCGATTAAAGTCAATCTACATTGATAGAACGACTATACGTGTGATTTGAAAGCAACTTAGCAAAATATTAATTCAGAAGATTTCGTTAAAACAGAAGATTTCTCATCGATTATCTTTAAATATTCCTTTAAATAAAATTAAATATTTAATTATTTAGAATAAATATACAGACGAAAAGAGAAGAAGAGAGAGATTGATTCTCTTTAAAAAAGATAATATTAACTTGGAAAGCGAGTATTGTATTAATAATAAGTATACTGTATGTAGAGAGAGAGATAAGTTTGGTTTGCATCTTAAATTGCATTAGACGAGAATTGAAGTAAATATATAACTGGTTTTTGAAATATTTATACATATCTATATGTGTGTTTTAAAACGACTAAATGCAGTGCAAGTAACAAGAAATAACATTTTATATGTATGTATTCAGGTATGTATATGTTACGTTTTTCATTGAATATGGAAATTTTAACATTTAAAACATTTGAAAGTTCAAAGTTGCCCTTCTCCTGTCGCCTCTTTGAGAGGACTCCAAAAATTAAATTGTGATTCCTGAGATATATTAGTATGACATATATGACATATCAGTTTGTAACTTTATTTGAGCCACCCTATATATGCATATGTTCTTTAATTTAATATAAAAATCGATTTGTGCAAAATGGTACGACATATCGATAATTTTTTGGAATTATGATTTTGTAATATTTTTTTCTTTCTTCTTTTTTTTTGTAACTTTAGACGTTGCTCAATTATAATTTCTAAGTGCATGCGATAAAGTCATTATTATGATTCTGATTATCATTATTATTATTACTATTATTAGATACTATTATTTCTCCTCTCGAGAGAATATTGATGTTGCTAAATCAATCGGATTTGCAGCATATTTCTGATGCATCTCTAACAGAAGAAATCATACGAAGAAAAATTATTTCTCATAATTCCTTTCAGTGTGAAACACACTTCGAATCTGTCTTATTTTGTAATCGGTATTCAATGACATAATAACAGTAATATCGAGGTAATATCGCAAGTTTTAGTATTTCATAATCGAAGGTTTTGTATTACGATTTTTAAAAAACAGGGATACACATTACGCACAATTGCGGCTGAAATTACTTCGATATTCGTATCTCAGATACCGGTTTTCGTTCACACTTCACTCTTATCGATAATGCGCGTATATGTAGCACATTGCCTTACATATACCATAAAAAAATCTCAAAAATAAATGCACGCGTTTATCGATTAAAGTATACATACGGATCACTGACTTGAAATGGAATCGTTAACTTTGTTTATTTATATGTATATACATTTGTGTGCTTTAAACACTGTCGGTGCTTCCACAGAATATATCAAACTTCGTGTTATACGAATCAAGGGCGATCGACGTTTTCGTATTCTGCTCTCGTGAGTGACCGTGAGGCTTACACGAAGTTCTTTCCTCGACAGTCTCAGATTTTCCTTTTCTCTTTTTTTTTTTAACGACGTCGCGTAATTCGATTCAAAGCGTTGCACAATAAGATCCAGTAAAGAAAATTACACTAGTATTAATCCCAAATTAGCTCTATCAATACAATTTAACCTAAATTGTTATTCCTTTCATTTTTCAATACAAAGAAGGACGAAAGAGAAAGGGACAAAAAATTAAAATCTTGCAACTCGAGCGAAGGAAAGGATGCATTAATGATGGAAAGCTGTGTTTCGAAATGCATATTTTATACACAAGAAAAGAACGATTTTGCTGAAGTATTTTAAAATTTGATGAAGCATTTCGAAAGGTAGATACAGATCTGAAAATAATTTCGCTCGACCATCAAAATAACTATGTAGGAAATTCAAGCATAATGAGCAATACTGCAAAAAGTTCTGATGTTCTAGCAACCAATTTCGTCTTACATAATTATCTTCCAAGTCCAACTAAATTATTTTTAGATCTGTATCTAGTTAGACCTTTAAATGCTTCAGCGAAACCGTTCTTTCCGTAGACACACACTCAGAAAAACATTTTAAAATATACTTGTTACAAATTTTAGAAAAACTTTACTTTGTACTCAAAATAAGAATTTATTTTCTTTTGAAAAATGTTTTTTAATCGATCGGAGAAGCGACTTTTTATATATAATAAATAAATCGAATTTGTTTTAATTTAATAATTTTGATTGAGGTACTGAACTTGCTAGGATTATATTTTGAATACTTTTAATAAATTTATAATAGATTTTTTACATGCATATACTGATAAAAAAATGATGCTACATCAACAGTATTATTGCAAATAATTTTGTTAATGCAATAACACTATTAATAATGAAACCAACACGCCATGTCCTTGATTTAATAAAATTATATTTGTTTCATTAATCTCCTTAGATTATTTTCAATTAAAGCAACACTGTCGATACGTAATTTTTTTCAGTGTACGGCATATATTTTTCTGTGTATAGAAATGATAAAAAATAATTCAAATTAGGTATAACCTGACACTACAAATTTAACAGTATTATATATCTCAGGTATAATTTTATAAATACACAATTCAATTGTATTAAATATCTCTTTGCCAGACTTTTCAGCAGAAAATGACTAAATCGCACGTGTCAAGGTATTTCTGACGTCAATTACGTAACAATCCTCTGATCAGAAGAAGAAGGAGAAAGATAATTCGAACGAACAGCGAGAGAGAGAACAGCGATCGAGAACGGGGCGGGCTCTTCTCGATAAAGGACGCGATTAATAACGGTCGATAAAAGTCAAGCGACTCGCAGTGACCCGACTGCGACAACGGTGCGGTCAAGGTGGCGCGTTTCGTAATTCAGCCGGTGCGCCTTCGTCGTCGCTGTCACCTGGCATGCCAATTACACCCAACGCTCTCGTCTTTTTCTCGCGCGCTATCGAGATAACCCACTTTCCGACCGGGCCGAAGAACTGGCTATTCCGTCGTGGTCTCTTTCCTTTACGGCCGATCATTCCAACTCGCGATCTATACAGCCAGACTTGCCGCGGTCGCTCGTATCCACCAACCTTCACCTATGCCGAAAGAATTTGCTCTTTTGCTAAAAATTTTCTAACTTCTCATTGCCCAATTATAGAGAGTTAGGATTTTTTTTATTTATTTTCGTCGTCATGATTGCACCACGTGACGAAATATCGTACATATAAAGTATCGTAGCGAATAAGATTTGGAAACGCGAATGTTAAGGTAGCAGAACGGTTTCCCTTTTTAACGCAGAATGCGGAACAAAAACTTCTTCGGAGTTTATTATCCGACGATGCTTTGTGATTTTTACTGTTAGAATTGTCAAATTCCTCTCATCCTGAAGTTCCATAACTTTCTCTGATTTTCAGATACAATTCCACGATTTTCCCTGATGCTTTTAATAATATTTTGAAATTTTTTGTATTTTCGTCGTGATTTGGAAATATTTTATTGAGGGAGCAATTAAATGTGGCAATGTAAATTATTATTAATGTTAGACATCAAAATGTAAATCAATTCATTTCAGTGGTCAGTTTCAAAATAAATAATATCCACATTAACGCGTATACGCTCAAAAAATAATAAATTAAATTTGAGTCTCCCTTTCTCTCAAATTTAATACATTTTCTTGAATTAAATGGAATACATAGAAATGATTAAAAATAACTCAACTTGAATGTAATTTGACATTATGAATTCGACAGTATAAATGTATGCATATTAAACTTCTTTGAAGCTAAGAATGAAAATTTTGCAGTTCCCTGATTTCCAATTTTGTGGCAAAAGCCTGTGTTAAATTTTCTTGGAATGCTTCCTAGAAAGAGACGGACAAAAATATGGAAGAAAGCAAAGTGAAAATCGAGTTTCTTACTTCCTTGTCACATATATTTTTTTCACCTATAACGTCGCTCTTCCTACACGTCTCCAGGTTTTCATGGAGCGTGAGTCGTCGCAACATTAAGAAAACAGAGTAAGAAATCTGTTACAAGAGGCACTGAGTCTTGCGACACACCGCGCTAAGCAAACAGTTATAAATCACGAGTCTTGCTGCGGTTGACCCAACCGAGACTCATACCGCGCGAGGACATGGAGGATCAGACTCGGAATGACGTGTAAAGAGGCGTAAAACGGAGGACTTACCGGCGTACGTGCTCTTGAAGCTCTCATGAAGCTTGAAGGTGAAGGGAATGTGGACCTTCATCATCTCCATTTGCGGTATGCGCGGCGAATGCGTTATCACGCCGCCGCCGCCGCCGAACATCAAGTCGTCGCCGTGGACACGTAGTACCATCATGTTCCTGCGATCAGACAGAATATACGCCTTTCAGATAGCTCGAGCAATTCATCGACGACCGGCGAGCCGGTTATCAATGATGTGTATTGTCGAATCTTCGTATAATTACGCTAGAATAATTATGGGCAATTTTACGATCAATTTAAGCTGTTTATTGTTTCAATCCAAGAAATCGTTACACGCTTGAATGCTAATTACATTTATAAATCCAAGAATGACGAAATGCCATGTGATGTTTTGTTTTTTTCGTTATTCTTAGAATCTGCGATAAATCAGCCGGAACATACACTGAGAGAAATGTTTTGTACCAATAACCAAAGTTTTGTTACTGACACAAAAACTATTTGTTGATATATGATCAATAAAACCGTTGATTACTACGACAATATTAATTTGTTGAATTTATTAACTAAACTAATCATTTAATGGTACAAAACTGTTTTGTATGATGTTTATAGATCTTTTGTAATTAGAAATAGAACATTTTGTTAACAAAATGAATAATATATAAGTATCTCTCACAGAGTGATTATGTTTGGCGTTTTTGAATTTCCTTAGTTTAGCAAAAATATATATAGATTTAGAGCAATTGAGATTACTAATCCCTCTGAAAAAATAGTTACCATGATTGATCATGGTGTGGCGAGAACCGAGAAGTCCACGAGATTAGTCTCTAATCGTCTCGACTTTATAGACGTAGACGTTGAATTTCTCTTACGAGAAGACACGCCATCTCTGATAGCTCCGCGAAACACTGCAGTGGATTATTTTGTTGAAATTACTAAAAGAATACTTATTTTGTAATGGCAACCAAATTTTACATTGATATTTACAAAACGTGAGTAACCGAATAAATTTGTATTGTTAAATAAAAAAATTTTGTTCGTCTTACAAAAAAATATTGTATTTTGTAATTTTAACAAAGTAATCCAATAATAATCGGTCATTTGTGAATAATTCTCTTTTTTTGTTATCAATACTGTCTTTTCTCTCAGTGTATGCGACGCGACTTATCAATCAATTTAACTTTACGCCAAGTATGTCACTGGATAATTAGTGACTATCCACTGATTCAGATTTAGAAAGTAACAATAAATATCCTGGTTTATTTTAATATCGCCGAGATTATATATAGTAAAGAAAACCAAATTATTATTGCAGAAATTATTGCTCGTTCTGATAATCGTAACGAAAAATAA